TATATAAATTAAAATAAAAATAACAAGTGTGTTGAATATATTATTTTCTTTATAATTTTGATGGGAAAAAAAAGTAACATGAGAACTAAGGATGATTTTAATTTTTTTATTTATTTAATAGGTGGTCAACTTAATTTTTTAACGAGTGTGGTGGAAGTGAATACTAAATATCTTAAGGAAGACATTGTCCAATAATTTTTTTTTATATATATATACACACTTATGTATAACCAAATAATATTGAAATATTATAATTCAAAGATAGTATCTAAAATACTCTTATTAAAAAAATAATTTAATTTATATATATATCATATTATAATGTAAAATAATTTAATTATTATTTCTTAAAGATTTTTAGAAAAATTAAAAGTAATTTATGTTTGTTTATGATAGAGAACTATTTTTTTTTTTTGAAAAAGCATGTTTTTAATGAAAAAATCTTCAAAAATCATAATTGAAAATTTAAACAAACATATGAAATGTTTTCAAAACTGATTAGTTTATTTTAAGAGTTGATCATACATACACTATCAGTGTAAAGTTTTTTACACGGGCAACTAATCATATATTTTAAATTATTTTATTTTATTTTTATTTCATTAAATGAACAACTGATATGACACTATTAAAAGATATAATTGGTTGTCAGTGTAAAAAAATTTTACACTAGTAGTGTATAGATGATTATCTCTTATTTTAAAGTATTTTTTTTATTGAATTAATGATTTTTAAAACACATGGGTGTATTTAAACTATTAATTTAACTTATTTGTAGAAGTCGAGATAATAAATATATCATCTTAGATTCATTGTAATTTTTATGTATAAAAAAAGTATATGATCAGTGTATTTTAAAGTGTTCGGTATGATAAAAATAGTTACTTGTTATTCTTGACTTTTGGAGAACTTATTGTCACTAGGAAATATATTAAGATGGGAATTCTTTTATGCTTGATCACATTAATTAGATATTTTACTAATTATTAATATAAAAAAAAGGTTTGTTTTCATGAAAAACTATTCAAGCCAATATTAAAAATTTAAATGAACACAAATATTTTAAAAGTTGATTTTTTTTAAGTATTTATAGTAATGCAATCATTTTAAGTTGTTTACTTCAATTGTGTAGATAAGTGATAAATTTTAGTAGAGTTAAGTTAGATTAGTTCAAAAAAAGTATATAAGGTTTTATTAAAATCGAAAACTCATTGTTCTAGTTTTAAGGGAACTAGTGAGAGGAACACTCTGAACCCCAATCACTCCTCTTCCTTTTACTGAGAGATTTCTCATCCTCATCTTCTTTGTAGTTGATCCACCTAGTTGAAGTGGGGAATTCAAAGTTGTGGAGTTGAAATTCCAAGTCAGAAGCTGTACAAATTTTGTGTAGTTTTCTCTTTTCTCTCTTCGACTTGGGTCCTCAAGAGGTAAGGAAAATTGTGATTTTGAATTATTTTGTGCATTATGTGGTTGTGTTGCTGAAATGAGTTGATTGGTGGCTATTATGGATAATTGAATGATTAAAATTGACAAAGTTGTGTGGGTTTTGGAGTTTTCTTAAAGCACTTGAAGGGAAGTGGAAGATTCTTATTATGAGATGGTTGCATGTTAATTTTGACCTAGTGTTTGAGTTACCTATGATGCTTATATGTATTATGTTGTAATGCATGTTAGGAGTTTTATATGTTTCAGGTGATTTTGGCGAAATCGATTTCTACATAGGTGTAAAAATTAGATGGGGTTATTTTATGGTATTTGTCTGAGGAGATATTTTATAAGAGTTATTTTTATAAGGTTATTACACAAGTACACTCCACAATAATGAGATATTGTCCTCTTTGGACCTAAGTCCTCACGATTTTTACTTTTGATCATCACCCAAAAGGTCTCTCAATCATTGGAGTATGTTTGTGTTTTATAAGTTTTTATTTCTTAACTTATTTTTTTTATGTGGGACTTGTTTGTATACCAACAAAATTGATGTTGCATTGGATGCTTTCATGGTGTCGAACGTGGTTCAATCAATTATATTGTGTCTTGCTCTTGTCGGGCCAATAATTGGTAGCGTTGGGAGTGAGAAGAGACAATTATCTCAGGTTGGACTGGTGTTGGGTGTGGCTTCAATGGTGTCAAATGTGAGAAGAGAGAATCGTCTTGGGTTGGTATAAGGTTGGGTGTGGGTTGCTGCCACGACAAGCGTGAGGTCCCAAGGGCCTTGACCTAATCCACACCAAGCGCGAGTTAAGTGACACCGAGCGTGGGTGAGATAGAGAGTCCCATGCCTCAATGATGTCAAACGGCCTTTGAGTGGCATCGAGTGTGAGTTGTATGATGAGAAATATGTTGTTTTATAGTTGAATGAGGATGTATGATGACAAATTCCTATGTTGTAAGTTGATTCATTATATGATGATATTACATTGACATGTTGTGAGATGTTGCATGTTAAATATGTTGTATAGTTGTAAGTTGTTTTAGGTTGTTAAGCTATAACATGTGAGTTAGATACATGTAATGGCTACAATAGATAAAAAACTAGAGAGGAGTAAAGTTGCTTTAGAAACTATAATATCTCATTATGTGGATATACGTTGCAGTACTCTAAGAGTTCGGTTGAAATCCTTTTGTAGGTATGTTGGTCTCTCAATGGTTAAGTTGTTTTTTATTATCCCCTCTAAGTTTTACGTGGCGTTTGTAAGTGGGCAAAGTCGAAACATATGTGTATAAAGTGACCAATCAAGTAAAATATCGGATTAGGGACTTAGTCCCTAACATAGTATCAGAGGGACACAATATTTATAGAGTAATTAGTGGGCTAATCCCATGGGTGACTTAGTGTTGTAAACTAATGTTATAGTGGACTCATATCCAAACTATTTTACCTTAATAATAGTACTAGACTTTCTAGCTTAAGCGACAAAATTTGAGAAATCAAATTGAGTTGTCTATACTTGACACTCTAGGAGGTTGTCTATACCATCGTAGTTGAGATAGGTCAAACGTTGTGGTTCGATAGGGTTTAGTCACTTAAACTACTCATCTTTGTTGTAAGATATCTTTATAGTTGATATGCATAATGACACATTAATTATATATTATTGTATGATGATTATATTGTTGAGTTGTTAAGCTGTTTGATGTTGTAAGTTGTATAAGTAGTAATGGTGGCAAGTTGGATTTGATGTTGTTGTTCATGTTGCTTAAATTGATATTGATGTTGTGGTTGTCTGTTGTTTTTTTATTTAACGAGCTTACCCTTATATGTGTTTTTCATGTGGTTTAGAACTACAATGATTATACTTATTATAGGAACATAGCAAAGATAGGTTTAGTAAGGTGTACTGATGAAGACCATCATGTGGGTGATAACTTTTGTTATATTTTTGGTGCTACTTTTGTATAGTTATTGTTTTACCAACACTTATGATTTACATTTCAATTTACTAGAATATTATACATATATTATTTATATTTGTATAGTTGTTTCACACTTATATGTATGATGTATAGTACATATCCATTGCTAATTGATGATTCCACTTAGTGTAAGGATTGTAAAGAGTTGTTACATTTTTTAGGTTAAATTATATTTTTGGTTATTTATCTTATTTATTATATTCATTTTAGTCCTTTATCTATTAAAATATTTACTTTGATCTTTTATCTTTTATATTTGGATTAATTTGGCCATTTTTAAAAGAACAATAATTTTTAATTTTATAACTCAATTTTGAATTAATTTTCAACTATTTTGAGATGTAAAACTTGTAATAGTAGATTCAACTATATAAAAACTATAAAATGTAATTGATGTTTAAATTTATAAGAGTTATAACATAATAAAATTTGTGTAAAAAATATGTACAATAAGCAATTAGAAAATAGTATGAAATTATAATTTTTGAAATTTCAATTATTTTTTAGACTTATTTTTATGCATTTTTTATCATGTCTGTAATATTTTTCTATTTAAACTTTAGTTGTGTTTAAAAGTTTTCATATAAGTAAATTTAATGATATAAATTTCAAGTCTTAAATTAGTAAAAAAAAAAATTCAAAATCGTATCTTAAAATTAAAAACAATTATTATTTTAAAATAGCAGAATTAATCCAAATTTAAGAGATAAAAATTATAATAATTATTTTAAAAGATAAAAGACTAAAATAAATTTAATAAATAAAATAAATAATAAAAATATAATTTAATATTTTTTATTAAAAAGAACTTTAATTAATTTAAAACTTCATTTTTATTTTACGACATTGATAATTTTCAAAGAATTTCATTACCGTAATAAATATGAGACGGGGCAGTAGTCGACACGGGTCGGGTTGGAATAGGGTATGGGTGGTAGCGTAGAGTGAAGAGCAGGAGTGTTGTGGTGGGGTGGCCCCATTAACTCGGAACAGCCTCTGGCGTCGCACGTGTTCATGCCCAACCTACGAACTAAATTCCATCCCACACAATTCACAGATCAATTTTAAGGATTATTATTCGTTAACAATTTTAATTTTTTTTTTACCTACTTTCATTTTTATTATATTTATCTATAAAATAAACTTTAATATTTTAAAATAAATTACTCATGACTTAAAATGTAATTTATATATTAAAATAAATTCATTGTTAAATTAGTGAAATAATATTTTTAGTATTTTTTTAAAATATAAATTATATTTAATATATTATATTCATGTTCATCTATATCAAATTTCATTTGAAAATTTTTATAGATAAATTATCTAACAAGATATATTTACATATATAATATATTTTATACAATAAAATAAATTAATTTGATAAAATCATATGAAATTCATACGCTTAATCTAATTGCTAATATTATTAAATATAATAGTTGACCTGACTAAATTTGTATTTCATAAAAAATATTAAAAATGTGATTCACTAATTTTAGAACTATACTATTAAGAGATTGTAGGTTATATATATAATAAATATTTAGCTAGAGGCTAAAATACTTAACTACTATTATCATTTATGAAATGAGAAAACAGGTTTGCTCTTCTCACCTGTGTGCGTGCGTGCTTCAACAACAACAACACATACCCTCACCTCACTTTTACTTTCATTCCACACACCAAAACGCCAACCTCTCTCTACACTCGCAACATTCTATAATTTTCCAAAGCTTTCACTCCTATGAAGCTAGGGTTTCCATTTCACTCACCCAGGCCAGGTTCTCATTCTCCCTCTAATTCTTTTCTTCCTCTTTCTCTTAATTTCTTTCCCTTTCTCCTTTTTGCTAATAATATGTTTCCTTCTTTTCATTATCTTACCGCTGCGTTTTCACCTTTTCATTTTGACACAACCATGAACCTATGGAATATTAGTGTTTTCTTTTAGGGTTTTTCTATATCTTATATCAACCTTCCATTTTTAGGGTTTTGGATATTATGCCCTTTTTTTAATTAAAAATAATTAGGTAATGTTGTTGAAAATTAAGGATTCATATTGGGTTATGTGCTTTCTGGGTTCAGACTGAATTTTTCTTAATCATTAATTTCTGCTTTGTTTATTTAATTTACTTGCATTTTGTGTGCGGGATTTTTGATTTTATTTATGAATTGGGCGTTTCAGGAATTGAGTAACATAGGTTCAGTGATCGTGATTGGAAGGTTGCAATTTGGTTTATCTGATAGTGTAACTTCGTACCAGCCGTTGAAGTGACCGGTAATCTTATTTTAGATTTTCTTCTTATTATTTTTTTAATTCTCATAACAGGATTTAATTTATTCAATTCCAATTCCTTTATCTGTCCTCAATTTGTAAGTAATAACTGATAGGTATGCTTGATCTGTTTAAAATACTACTCAGAATCTCTACTCAACCCTCAAAAAAGAATAAAGAGTTTGTAGAGATGAAATGTTTTTTATTCTAAAAAATTGAATACATTGCACTTTGTGTTTTGTGATTTACTATGAAAATAAATCTGGAAGTTGATGTTTTTTTATAACTTAGGAAGTGATAAGTGTGGCTATGCTTTATTGTTGTTTATTTAAAGCATTGGTTTTGTTTGTGAAATCTACTCTAGGCTTAGAAGAACTGTAAACTGTGCAAGTTACATTCAGTTTCTTTTGGTGTGTATTTCACAGCAGCTAACAGTTTGTTCTAGCACAAGCTGGTGACTGTCTAGTTGGTCACTAAGTTGAAAAATGTTGCTGATATTTTGCTTGAAAAAATAAAGTTATTACAATAATGGTAATTGTATATGGAGTGAGTTTGTTACGCGAGGTTCATTAATAAGTTGTTAATTAGAAATAACAGTTTGCTGTTTGGCCACTGGTCAGCTGTAAATTTAGATTTTGTCATTATCGATACTTTAATGCATTCTTTCCCATATTTCTACAAGTGGCCAGCTTTGAACATTTTCTATTAGTAGTTTATTATTTGTATTGGTAGTGACTACACTACATTTTCTTTGCCAAACACATGCTTGGAAGCCATCCAAACTGCTAATGTGTATCATGTATTCATTAGATGTTGTAGTAACCAAAATAACCCTGGTCAATTGATGATTCATTGTAGAACTTGGTTTTCACTTGAAGTAATTGCTATATTGTTGGTGAAAAAGTATTGCTTTAACTTGGTTGTTGTCTCGGGTGTATCGGCGAATCTGCCCGCACGTGTACATGTTAATTCATAAATAAGAACTGAGTTGATGTCTCTTTATTCTGGACAAAGAAAGACATTAATGCTGGTGTAGGCATGTGATTGTTCAAAAGGCTTGGATTTATGTGGTTTGCTATGTGCATGATAATAAGAATTAACAGTTTGCTGTTTGGCTGCTAGTCAGCTGTAAATTTTGATTTTGTCGTTATCAGTATATAAATGCATTCTTTTCTATATTTCTACAAATGGAGTGATGTGGTGTGACTTAAACACCAGAACCTTCCTTTTTTCATTTCAATTTTGTGGCTGCGAATCTTGATCCCGCTAAATATGGAACTTAGTCAGCACGATTTTTGTCTATTCTGAGCAGAGTGTTGATCAATTTTGTCTGTCAGTCATGATTAACTGTTTTTATATTTTAATCCATATCAATCCTTTAAGGATGGGAAAGAGGTCATTATTCTCCGATCCTTATTTTTTATTAGAAAAAAACTGTAGCGTCAGTGGTGGTTACTGGCTGCTTCATCTTAGGGTCCAGGCTGGGCAGGCCTCTAAGGTCAGTAAGTGCTCACAGAGGTATTTACAAATAGGTCACCAACAGTGGACCCCTCACCTGGCTAAATTGGGACTGTTTCTGCTCACAGATTTTGCCGACTGATGGCTATTATTCTTTAATTTGAATTTTCATGCTTTCATGATTTCTGTAACTTATTCGTAATATATTCAATTAGATATTTTAATTAAGGTTCTTTTATAAACACGTCAGTTATGATCTATCCTATATTCTGCAAACTGTTTAGTGTTTTGACTGTTTTCCATTTATCTATGGTAAAAGTGGTCTAAAATTTGTCAAATGCACTAGCAATAGTGGATCAGTTGCAAAATTAGACTTTAATACTGAAATAAGTCAGATGCGTTTATTATTTTTTATCACATTTTATCTGATTGCTGCTGTAAACTTGGGACTTGATTTATGTCTTGAAATATCTGGATACTGTTCCCAAAATGAGTATTTTCTGCCATTATTTTTGCAGTGCTTGTTCTTGAACATTTTTTTTTCTCCAGAAATTCTTAATGGGAGGGACAATTCTGGCACACCAAAAGAATGACCTTGATGCTTTGAGAAAGATTATGTAAAGCAGTATGACTCTTGAAGATTTTTTTACCTTGACTGAGATGAAAGATGGGCTCACAGCACCTTCTCGGGTGCAGGAGCTGGTCTCTGTGATGCAGAAGGAAAAAGATTGTGAGGTTAAAAATGCTGCTGATGCAACAAGGCAATGGGCTGCTGTTGCAAGCACTATTGCTGCTACAGAGAATAAAGACTGCCTCGATCTTTTTATTCAATTAGATGGAGTTTGCTTTATTAATAGATGGTTGAAGGATGCCCAAAATTTTGGGGTTGATACAAACGACAGCTTTGTTGAGGAATCAATCACTGCAATGTTACGTGCAGTTGAAAAGCTGCATCTAGACAGTGAGAAGTCAATGTCATCAGGAATTCACATCACTGTAAGTAATCTTCTTGACCACCAAAGTGCTAGGGTTCAGGATAGAGCAAGGACATTATTTGACAGCTGGAAGGGAGGTGGAAATGGTGATGCTGAATCTCATGATGTGGAGCTTGCCAAGGTTGACAATACAAGTGACGATATTGTCAGGGAAGAAGCCCAGCCATCTGCTTCAAATGAAGCTGGCAATGATATTGATCATGCATCAGGACTAATTGGAAGTGAGAAATCTTTATTGAGAAGCTCAAATAATTTACCAATACATAGTTCTGATAATGTGTTGCAGTCATCCACCAGTGTGGAATGTGATGACATCAAAGAGGGATCAGCAAACCATGTTACTGGTGTTCCATCTTCTGCTCAAGAAGTTACTCCCGTACATGAAGGATTGCCGCTATGCACTACAGCTGAGACCACTTCAGTTGGACCCTCTATGTTTCCCATTTCAAATCAAGACAGTTTTGAAGAACAGTCAGACGCAATACAGTTAAGTGACTTAGCTAAAATGGAAAAGCAGGAGAAAAATGTTAATGACCCTTCAGAAAAATTGGGAGCGCCAGATATCTGTTCTATGTCCTCTTCTAAGCCTGAGCCCGAGCCCAAGCCCGAGCCTGTTTCCATGGTTCCAGAGCCAGCAGCACCAGAATCTGAGAATGAATCTGCTTTAGAGCAAAATGTTGAACACAGCGAGGATGGTGTTTGTCATAAAATAACTACTTCTGCTAGTATGAGTACACCTGCATCTGATAGGAGTGGGGAAGATGATGTTAGAAGTGTAACCGGCACTCCACAAGTTTTCAAAGCTGCAGAAAATGATAATGATTGTTGTTCTAATGCATTGCAGGACACATCAGTCAGTGACAGTAACTTGGGAAAGACTGAGGTGTTAGACATGTCTGTTTCTGGAACAGAAAATGTCACAGCATCAAATGAAGGCAAGGGCCATGTTTATAATGGTGACGAAGATAAATCAAATGGTTCTGATTCTAGTAATCCTGGAATAAATTTCAGAATCCCCAAGACAATTGACAATAGAGGTTCTGACAATGAACTTGACTGTGGTATTGTGGATGCTTTAGAATTTGCTCGACAAGTTGCTGAGGAAGTTAATAGGGAGGTCTGCAGTTCTTCGGAAAAAATCTCCGAAGGCGGATTCAGGCAACCAGGCAGTCCAGATTCTGTGAGTAAAGAGGATGAGCTCACTCCTGTCCCACCCAAGGAGGTCTCCACCAGACAAAACCATGCTACTGAGGCATGTTCAATGGAGGGGCGTGTGAGTGTTTTAGAAAACACCAAGGTTGAACCAGAATGCAGACCTGACATGGTGTCCTTGGAGTTGACTGAAGCAGCTCAAGATTCAGGAGGCAGTTCAGAGAAGCGTCTCTGCGGCTTTGATCTCAATGAAGTTGGTTCTGATGATATGGATGTTTCTGTAAAGACTATGTCTATGCCAATACCTGTTGTCTCTGCTTCAAGGCCTGCACCAACTCCTGGGTTGCCTGTGGCTCCTTTGCAGTTTCAGGGAACACTTGGATGGAAAGGAACAGCTGCCACCAGTGCCTTTCGACCTGCATCACCTCGTAAGAATTGTGATGGTGAGAGGAATCTTTCTGTTGATATGAACTTTGACACTTCCAAGCAGAGGAAGGATTGGCTTGATATTGATCTAAATGTGGCTGAGGGTGAAGAAGGCACATTTAAACCTATTGCTGAATCTTCAGGCAGGCCTTCTGGGCAATCATCCGTTGAACTTGATACTAAAAGATCAAGCAGGCTTGAATTTGATTTGAACAGTATTGGTGATGATGGTGATGCCCAGCCTTCGGATCACAGGATGGAGGGACAACTCTTTCTTGGAAGAAGTAGCTATTGGAGCCCCTCACCTGCATCGTCGTCATCGTCAATGCAGCCATCTGTTAGAAACATTGATTTGAATGACAGGCCATGCCTTCAAATTGATTTGGTAGACCAGGGCCCCAGTAAGTCTTCTCATATTATCAATGCATATGGTTGTTCTAAATCATCAGATGCTCCTGTTATCTCTCTTTTGGGTGCCAAGGTAGAAGTTGGTAAAAAAGAATGTGTTCCTCAAACTCTGTCTTTGCCGAATGGCAAGGCTATTGAACCTGCAATTGATCTTACAATGTCAAGAGCAGGTAGTGTTTTAGGTATAGCCCCCACAGTACCCTTCAATCATTCATCTATTTTTGGGTATAATGGAGTGACATCAGCATCAGCGGCACCTGCAATGTCTTTTTCATCAGCCATGTTCGGGTCAGGTGGCTCAATTCCATATATGGTGGACTCGAGAGGAGCTCCAGTTGTTCCTCAAGTGGGTGGATCTTCATCAACTGTCCTTTCATCTTTCTCTCAGCCACCAATCTTTATGAACATGACCGGTACACAACTCGGTCTGAATGGATTTGGACCTTCGCGTCCTAACCTTGACTTGAACTCTGGCTTCATGATTGAGGATGCGAATAGAGACGCATTGGCTGCAAGACAAATTTTCTTTCCTGGTCAGAGCAGGACTGGGGAGGAGCATGTAAGAACCATGCCGCAACCGTCAAGTTCTGGTGTTAATGGGAAACGAAAGGAACCTGACAGTGGTTGGGAACCCTACCCATTTAGCTACAAACATCCGCAACCTCCATGGAAGTAGCTTCTAATTTATGATTTTATCTCTCTTCTGAACTGTTCATAAACACACACCTTTCCAATTAATGCTTTATTACCTGAAATGATCGTCAAGAATAGGTCAGCGCACTAGTAACAGAAGATCTCGAACTCAATAAATGATGGGGGAAGATGGATGTAATATGATTCAAACGATTGATTGTTAAAGAGGGTAGAAATTGGGTTTTTCATATTGTATTTTTTTTCTTTTCTCTTCTTCCGTTGTTTATCCTTTCCTGTAGCTTCATAGAAAGGCATTACAAGCAGAAAATCTTGGTGCGTCTAGCTGTAATTTCTCTATCATATGTCAAAGAAATTTATAGGCACAGTATCATGTCTCATTGTCTCGGTGGTGCTTTAATATGTTGCCACTATTTGGTTAGTTTTCATTATTAAGTTAATAGCCTGTAGAAAGCGAAAGGAAGAACTCAGCGACTTAGAAAGGTCTCTGTTAAAAAGTTCTGCTCACTCATATGCTTAATTCTGTAGTAACTTTTAATTTATTATTCTCCGCTTTCATGGTGAATCATCGTTTACTGATTAACTCTTGCTTTTAGTTGTACTTTCACTTTAAGGCTTAAGCCTTTGTTTTCATCTTCAATGACATTTTTGTTACAGATTGCTTAGGCTTACTCTGTTTGAACCGAGTCTATTCAACCTCCGTCCTTGGCACCTGGTTCATTAATGTCAGAATCAGATCATTGTATGTTAGTGCTTTTTACACTGTCAGTCAATTTTGCGCCATTTTCAGCATCGTAAGACTACCTAATTTTCTATATTGATATGTATCATCATCACCCCCCATTTAAATAAAAATAAATAAATAATAATCGATGTCAGCCGAAAGGGAAGAGGGAATAGTGATCAGTTAAGGCTTTTGCTGTACTAAAAAACTGACGTAAAGAATGAATTCAAAATTTATATATAGTTTGTGTTTTAAACTACTGTCCTTTTCAAGTGGCTCACTAGTGTTTGCTAAGTGATCTACTGATATTTAAGGTTGGTGTCCTTTGAGTAGTTTTACTCAACACAATACATTTGTTTGTTAAGTATTCTATTTAGTGCCACCGAAGTTTGGAAACAGGGTTAATGAAATAGCTTTGGATGTCACCGGCGTTTGTGAAAAACGTGAATGAGTCACTTTTAGCAAAAGTGCACGGGGACACCGGACACGTTTTTTAACATTACGTTCTGGAAGCAAATAACTTGTTTTTACCTTTATATCCCGTTATCAGTCTCTTTAATTAATTAACTAATAATACTTTTAGTACAAAGAAAACTAATAGGTGAAAAACAGAAACGGAGACAGAAAAGGAGAATTATTCCAATTCTTATATTCGTTGCACGATCGAGTTTTGAATAGTCTTTAGCAAACATACTCTTAGATTCTTCTTAAGCAACTTTACCATTTTTTTTAAAAAGAAACTTGCATCAGTTGCATGATGGTATGAAAAAAATTATAAATAAAGAAAAAAAAGTTATATATTAATAGCATAAAACAGTTATATAATGTCATCTAATAAAAAATTATTTTGTACAATAAATTTATTAATTTTTACGATAATTATATTAAAAGTCATATAAATAGTGATGTTTTATTAGTTGATAATATAGAAGTTTTTACACTAATAATGTATATAATCACTAGAACTGAAAATAAATCATATATATCTTTTCAAAAATGAAAAAAATATAGTTTAGATCATAAAATATGCTAATGATCATTGGTTACAAAATTAACATTTAAGAGTATAATTAATTTTAAAATTTGTTATATATCAATATCTATTTTTTTTTATTAATCTCTAACTATAAATGTATTTTATTTTATAATTTGTAAGTTCGATCCCCAGAATTTACCGTCTGTGAACCCAAGCAATTCAATTCGATCTAATAAAAAATCCAGATGATTTCAGGTAAAATTTGGTTACAAGGAGTATGAATGTACAAAAGCCGATGCTCTCAGGTTCCTCTTTTTGAAACTCGTGGCAACCAGAACCAACCCAAATCAAACATTAGTGAAACGTTGTATTCAGAGAGGCTAGGGATTAGAAATTCTCTAGATTTAAAAACTGAACCTTGAGCTTCAACTCCTCAAATATGGTCTAGTCCCATTTCCACTAACTTTTCTTATCTTTGCTCCTTGTTGTCATGGTACTATTTCCTTTGGGTTAGTGCTGCTTCTTTGATCCATTGCTAATTTTGTTGTTGCCTGATGGGGATGCTTGCCAATAGTTGGATTGATTTTTCTTTTCTTGTTGGGGTGTCATTCTTCTTATTCACACCATGGAGAAATATAGTTTTTTTATAAAAAAAAAATTCAAAGAATTAATGAACCGAATTGAACCAACTAAAATTGATTCAGTGGATTTTTATATATATATATATATATATTGAGTGTGTTGGATGAATGTTTATAAAATTGATTTTGAATTAAATTTGTTTTGATTAAAATTAATGCTTATAAAATCAATTTTAAAATAAAGTGAATTACGTTTAGATTTTTTTTTGAATTTTAAAGTCAACTTAATCATAAAATTCAACACAAATCTTATTATCCAACACAAATTATTTAAAACTATTTTAATTGAAAGACAAGTCTGTACTCAAAATTCATTTCTTAATGAGATTAAGTATGTAAATATTTACTTAAACTTATATAAAATGATATTTCAATGTAATTGTAAATGATTGAAGTTGAATCCAAATATATACGGGTGGATAAAATGTAATGCAATGGGATGTTTACATGTTTGGTCTGAATTTGATTTTCATTGATGAGGACTGATATGTAGATGTAGCAGTGTGAAATGGGTAGTAACAATTAATTTGATGGAGGTTGAAATGAAATTGTTGATGTATGAAAGTAATGGGGCAGCTAAGAGTGAGTGATTCTGCCATGGCCAAGCATATAAATAAATGAAGTGTATGATAATTATTTTAGAAATATGAGTAATTATTTATTCCCAGAGATTAAGCATAAGATTAGGTACAAAAGGGTGTCGGAATGAGAAGGAAAAGGGGGATTTTGGTAGAAAAAAAGAAGTGGGTATCTCTCACAATTCACAAAGGGGCTAAGGGAAGGTGGCGAGGAAGAGTGAAACGGAGGAGAGAAGCAGGGGAACGGGGCGCAACGCCGTGCCAACAGATGCCTCCCTTGCAAGGCTCCCCCTGGCTGTGAGCGTGGTGGGCGTGAAAGGCACACGTGGCCTTGCGCGAGATGTCCCACGTGCACCGCCGCGGTGGATAGGAGCGCCACGTAGCCGCCGCTGAAGGTGGTGCCGCAGAGAAAAGCGTAGCCCTGGAAAGCCACGATGGTAGCCACCAAGATTGTGGAGAGGTTCGTTGCCACCACATCAGATATGGCCATCGCCACTTTAATGCCCATTCATCCCCTTTCCTTTTATTTTACGTCCCCATATCCTTCCTATCAACTTATTACTTAATTATTTTTGTTTTTCTCCTAACAATTAACTTAACTTGTATTTTTCTTTTTCTTTTTCTTTTTCTTTTTTAGCTTTAACTCTCTCCATTAATTCAATTTCCTGCTCCCTGTTTTTTATGCATTATCTTCTTATTGTTATTCCACATTTAATAAAAACGTTGACGTAACATTATATTGCATTATCATGTCAACACATCCATACCTAATATTATAAGCTCTTCTCACATTAGCATATTTATTCAACGTTAGATATTAAGCTAATAGATATACAATTAAAATCGTGAGGATTGTGTGCTTGTTGAAAATGGTGGTTTACCTTACAAAAAGAATTTCAATGACAAAATAAATAAATATTCAAAATGTACGACTGTAATATAAAAATAAGCGTCTCTTTTGAAGGTTAAATGTGTATGTATATATAGGAAAAAAATTTATCTTTAATTGACAAGATGTTTAAGTACATTTAAAATTGTGTATTGTTAAAAAAGAGTACTCATTTAAAATTTTTAATTAAAAGTCTTCCATTCTTGAAGTTGAAAATAATGATTATATCTACATAAAGGACTATGACGCTAAAGAAAGCAAATATTTAGAATGTACTGGTATAATTTAGAACATAAATGTTTACTGAAAGTTAACTAAATGTGTATATAGAGGAAAGAAAATATTACCATTAATTGACAAAACATTTAAGTGCATTCAAGATATTTTATTATATTAAACATTACAAATTGTCAAGTCTAATCATAAAGAAATATGTTCTACAGTTAGAACAGTATTCGACCTTAAGAAATGCTCAACAATTAGAGCATCACTTAACCTTAAAAAAAATGTTCGACAATTAAAGCACTGCTCAACCTTAAGAAATGTCTTGTTAGGTTAGACTCATAATACCCAAATTCTTCCTGTTATGAAGGTGTCTTTGGAAATAGAGTTTGAGACACGAATAAATAAATAATTATTAAAAAGTTAAATTAGCATAATGATAATAGTATAAAGTCAAATAGTGTAATTGTTTTCAACTTATTATTGCACAAATTTCAAAATAACTTTTCAAAAAAAATTTCTTAATATATTTATGAGATTCTTTCACACGCATCAACATGGGATATATTTGCAAAAAAAAAATGGTACTAATATCGATGTGTACTTGTCAAAGGTTGTCATAGTATATTTACATAGAATCAAATAATGTAAGGTAATCTTTTGGCATCACCTTGTTATGTCTATCTAAGAAATTAGTGTTGATTGCAACAAGATTTCTCCCATATAAACTTGGGTGATGTACATGTTTTAAACAACAATAACAATATAATTTCATAGATTTATTATCAAATGACTTTTCTTTTTAGAATTAATGTTCATAAAAGTGAATTAAGTACATAATTGTTATAAGGAGTTAAATAACTAAGTGGTGAACTACTATAGCAAACTTAGTTGAGAAAGTTAAAATAGTAAATATATAGTCCTATATTTCAATATTTGTTATCGTCATTTTAGTTTTAATAAATAAAAAAATTGACTAGATGGTTCATTATGAAATAGAATTATCCAAAATCTTTATTACACAACTAGAATAATAAATAAGATTTTATGTTTTCAAGAAATAGAATGTTGAGTCGCTCATTTATTTTTTATTGTAAATTAAATTATTTTTCTTTTTTATTATAAGTGGGAAATACTTTTCTTTAAAATTGAAAGGGAACAACGTGTCCATATATTTATTCGTAAAATTTGCTTAAGTATAATGTGGATCCATGATGAATCATTGTATAAACTATCTTTCCTTATACACAAATTTATGTCATCATTAGTCAGTGCTTATTTTATAATTTATATTTATTATATAAAAAAAATACCAATATGTTATTATTTTTTATCCTCTTATTATATTCTTCAAATGTTAAAAAAAACATTAGCATATTTTATGTAAATGATCACTCACAATTATCTATTCCACTATCTCTCTTTTTCTTTTCTTTTTTAATCTTAATTTATTTAAAAAAATTCCTCTGCTAATCATGATAAGTTCGATTTATGTTATGTGGGTGGTTCGGGACC